CCCCAAAACCCCAAAACCCCAAAACCCCAAAACCCCTTCCAAAGAGGTTATATTTAAAACAATATTATCTGAATAATAATTATGAAGAAAAGTAGTTCAAGTAAAGACCAGACTTTAAGAGCCAAAAACAAGGTAGCTTTAGCGGTTATTCTATCAAAATCTGACACTTCTAACATTATTGACACAAAATTATCTTTGTCTGTAGAGAAAAGCTGCTTATTCAGTAGCTCCATCAGGTAGACACTTTCACGAATATGCTGTCAAAAGTAATATAAATCTGTTCATTTAAAGCTGGGCAAGGTTTTAACAGTAGAAGAAATCTAGCAAAAATATATTGATCGAGTCAAAGGTCCCACAACCATACGGAGACCAGAGGGAAAATGGTAAAATTTAGCTGTAATATTTTAGAGGGGGAAAATACAAAATATTTCTGAAAACAAAGCTTTAGTGCCTCAAAATAGGTAAGATCTCCATGAAAAATTGGTGATGGGTCATTAAACATGTGATTTAGCCCTAACCAGTTGCCTAATTTGGTCAGTCAAGTACCTGTGAATGGAAAGAAGAAGCTTAAATCAGATCATCGAAGCCATAATGTCTCAAAAAGGAGAGTAAAAGTTGGATCTCAAGCTATGAGTCCAGAAAAATCTGATAGAATCCTAGGTAATAACATTATATTTTCAGTAAGATTGATGCTATAATCCGTTAAGATTGATGAAAACCTAGAGAGGGCTTATCAGAAGAAGCATCCATCTGTATTCTCCTCTAACGTGATGTCAAAACGGAATAAGACAAGTGAGAGGAGGAGGGTGAATAATAAACTGATCTACAAAAGACCATTAAAGAAAAGAGATCCCAGCCAAAGAAAAAATATTGATATCAACGATAGATTTCTCTTCTATAAAAAGTAAACATAGCCGTTATTTTAGACAACTAAATGTCAATCAGCCACAGTTAGAGCAGTTCAAACACGGTGATATGAATGAGAAAAATGAGATACTTGGCAATATGCAAGCTCAAGAAAGCCAGAAAGGAAATATTACCAGCCCGCTTCCGAAGTCAGTAATTTTACAAAAGAGTAAAATTGCATATCTTTGTAAGCCAAATTAAATTTCCCTGGTCTAAAAATTTTGGTCGCTCTAGACTAGCTAAAACACATCAGAAATATGATTTTATCTCCTTTTGTTCAGTCTCACCTGCAAAATTTCTGACATTTCTGGTAGCAGCCAATACCCAATTTGTTGGTAAAATGATGGGAGATTCTCCATACAACCAGACCTTGACAAGGCCTAAATACAAGAGAGCAATTCAAGAAAGGAAACATAGGAAGGTAGTCAGCTACATGGCATCGCCTTATAACACCAAGCCATCAAAGATCAGAAATTTTAACAAGAAAGGTATTTCATCAAATTTAGGAAATATAGCTAATAAAGTACCTCGAAGCACTAATACTAGTTGGAGCAGGAAACTGTTCAAGAATGAAAAGGAGAGACACCCGAAAGTCCCATCAACACAAGCCATGTTTAATTTGCAGAAAGATGCTTCAGGCCGGGTTAAGTAAGTTCCAAGGGATATATAGTAGGAAGAAAAGTCTCAGACCTCTCCAAAATTCTCCTGTTCCTGATAGTTCTAAGCTAGAGGAATATTCTCCTTTATCACAAAGATCTCCACATATTCATAAAATGGAAACCTCCATTGTCAGAATCCAGGACATGCTCAAGCATATGGATGATATATTAGTGGCAAAGAATCAAAGGAAACACTTAGAGATTAAGAAGATAGCACAGGAGGCTGACTCAGGAAGAGTTGGGAGTAGCTTCCAGTTACCCCAAAACTCTGGAAGAGAGAGTGACCTTGTCACTCTTCTTAATATCGATGATATTACCAGCAGTAATCTTGCTTAAGATTTATTTAGCCATTAGTATATTGTTTCAATTTTATTCCTTAATCTTGGGGTTTTGGGGTTTTGGGGTTTTGGGGTTTTGGGG